GCCAAAGAAGATTTTCAGATGGCAGACAAATAAACACTGAAGAACTATTCAAAGTTCCTACACATTAGAAAGGTGCAAATCAAAACAACTATGAGATGCCATTTCACCCCAGCAACAACAGCAAAGTTCAACAGGGCAGAAAATAATAAATGAGGGTGAGGTTGTGGAGAGATTGGAACTTACTCACTTCTGGTAGGAATGTAAAATGGTAAAGCCACTATGGAAGGTGGTCTGGTGCTTTCTCAAAAGGTTGGAAATAGAAACACTATTTGATCCAGCAATTCCAGTACTGGGAATATACCCTAAAGAAACCAGAGCTATGACTCAAACAGATGAATGCACACCCAAGTTTATTGCTGCATTATTCACAATGGCAAAGAGATAGAAGCAACTCAAATGCCCATCAATAAGTGAATGGATAGAAAAAATAGTATGTTCACTCAATGGAATATTATACAGCTTTGAAAAATAATGAACTTGTAAAGTATTACACAACATGAGGGAGCCTGAAGGACATTATGCTGAGTGAAATATCTCAGTGAAAAAAGGACAAACACTGCATAATACCAAGTTATAAAACAGGACAGACATGGAGGGAGGTTGGGAGAGAATGGAAAAAGAGAGGATAATGTACACTATATTAGAATAGATGAGAGGAAGAACTGTTCAAAAGGAGTATATGGCATTATAGGAGTGACAACGTCTGGAAGAGGGATGGGGAAGGGCATTGGAAGGAAGGGAAAAAAACCAACAATAACAACATTCAATCTAGTTTTATAATGTCTTTTCTTCTGCTTTATGTATTTCTTTTCTTGGGGGAAGAATCCTAGAAATATTTAAAAATAAAATAATATTTAACTATATACTTAGCAAAATTTGATGAAACTTGGTCTACTGTTTGGAAAAATTAGATATATGCTACTAGAAGCATCATAACACATTTTCAATCTTTCTTTCAATAATTGCTCATCTGACAAATATTTATTTTTAATAAATATTTATTGAGCACTATTTCTTGCCAAGACCTTGGCACTAGGGATATCATTTCTAATGTCATATGGATCCTGGCTTAAAGAT